ACAACGCACTGGATAGCTGGCCAATCACAGCACACCTCGCTTTTCAGACCGATGAGCTTTGTAAAAAAATCAACGCGTTTCAGAAAGGCGGGGCATAGAGGAGAAACAATAATGTACAGTATGTGGGAAATAATGTGTTTTTTGAACCTTAAACATATTTCATTACACCAAATACACAAAATAATGTTCTTTTTAGCAGCATCATATGACCCCTTTAAACCACTCTAGTCTTTAGTGTAGGTTGGCATTCAGAAATATCAGATACCTCAGCTTGGATGTGCTGATGCGATTTCTCCTCTCTGATTATTTGTCCTGTTTTTGAGAAGACTCTCTCTGAGGTGGACCGATGTTGCAACAATGCAGTGTCTTCCTACCTTAACCAACGCGCTTGCTTTTAAATCCGGACCCCCCGCCTCTCTGTGTTGCTCTGTGTACCTGGCCTTTACCACTACACTCGCTATCTTCGGAGCATGTGTCCCCCTTCCTTCTTTCACATTCTAGTCTATCCTCCCATGTGATTAGCCGCATGTGAATTTTTGTTTTTGTAATGAAAAAATGCATTAAAATAATGCTTTTATGAAAACACTGATTAAAAAAATTGCTTACCAACACACAAACCATTCACAATTGCTAAATTGGGTTAAAATAGAAGGCTCCGGCTGAAGATTCGGCTCTCCCCGACGGGAGTCGGCTCTTCTACAAGAATCGGCTCTTAGAGCCGGCTCGTTCGCGAACGACACATCACTAGTGCCAATCCACAGCGATGTCCTATTGGAGTCGACTCTGTGCGCATGCGCAGAAAACCGCTCCGGTTGCTCCTGTTGTAAACAAGACGGCTCCACAACAGTAAACGGTGAGAAATATAACATATTTCTTTTGCTTATTTAAACACCAACTTTATGATGGCTATATGTAGATGCAAGTGATTTATTCGTGTACGCGGCGCATTTAAAACGTTTTTTTTATTTTTTTGTCTAAGCTTGCAAGATAGCACTGGTAAGTTAGCTAGCTAGCTATCCTTTCAACTTAATCAAATACAATCTCCATTTGTATTCATTATAAATCATTTTGTATGCACAATTTAGTTATTCTTGTGCATCTAATATAATATTTATTTATTTTAAAATATTTACCGTGTAATACACATCCAGAGTGTTAATGTAAGGAGTGACTCCTGTTGGCCAGTTCTGTTAGTAACGTTTATTAAGTGTATTTTATGAAGTACCCACACGCACATTTTCACAAGTATTTTCATGCTAACGTTTATATTGTTGGTTTCCTCTGTTGGATCCTGTACAGGATTGATCAGGCTACTGGGAGTGAAGGCACATTTTACCTGTTACATACTGACAGTGGATATGAAAGGGTTTGTAGCAAATAACTAAATGTTTGAGCTATACAATTTGTAATACCACCATTTTAACTACATATTCAACAATGTCAAATGTTGTGTTTTTAGACAACAGAAAAGTTCTGAACCTGATGTCAATGTTCCAGACATTGAAGGAGGTATTATAAAATTAAGCGTGATGAAGTAATGCAAGTTTATTTTTAAATAAGTTTTGAGAATTGATGTGTGTGTTTTTTTTTTTCTTTCTCTCTCTCTCAGGGGCAGTTGCTACTGCAGAGGACCCATCAGCAATCACAACTATTCAGTCTGCTTCTACGTTCTCCTCGGAGCAGCCGATTAAATACCTCTTCAAGGCCGAGGGAGCTGGGGGGCAGGTAGGGGAGCTGTACCCTCCCTCAGGGCAGGTAGGAGGAAGGGTTACATTCAAACCCGAGTGAGAACTTAGGCCCAGTTTACACCTGGTGATGACAATGGAGAACAATTTCTCAATATTATTTAGTGCTGTCCATTCCAGACAGATGTTCATACCAGGTTTAAACCAACCTAAATTGTTCCCAGAAAGTGTTCTTTCTGATGACGACTCAAGAAAAATTTAGCAGTGATCTCTTTTTTTTTCACTTTAGGTAGCTTCTACAGACAAGTGTAAGATTGTATTGCATAACATAACTTCTCCTCTTAATTTTCCTCAGGTTACGTATCGCGTAATCCAAGTCGCAGATGGACAGCTGGAAGCTCAAACTGACAGTGCAACAGCTGTTAGTGTAGTGACTGGGTTTCCTGCTACAACACAGCCTCTTACGCAGGTGCAAAATTGCTTCACCTGACATAGATGAATAGAATTTAACCTAATTACATTTCATTTCAATATTATTTAAATATGTTTTTCAGGCTGTTTTTTCTCAGTCAGAAGGCTTGGAGGGCGATGGCACAGAAACCCATTACACATACTATCCTGCTACTATCTCAGACGCAGCAGCTGGCACCATGGTGACTGGTGTTCAGGCCTCAGATGCTCTGCTTAGTCAAAGTGCTCCTGCAGGTGCATCATCAAACATTTTTTAGCATAAATGATGCATTTCAATTGATATTATGTACATGAATACACAACGGTACATCACTTCTGTTGCAAAACAGCCTAGGTTTTTATGTTTATTTGTTTTTTTGCTCTTGTTTTAGGTCAGTTGTATGTTATGATGTCCCCGCAGGAGGTCCTTACTGGAGCCAACCAGAGGTCTATTGCACCTCGTACACAACCTTACAATGCGTAATGTTGCTTCTTCCAGCCTCGTTTAATGCATTTCTCTATTTAGTTATTGCTGTTTTGCTTTCTTTATTTGCATTCTTTTTTTAGTGACCACAAACAGTAATAAAAATTAATTGAAAATAATGGACTCAGTTTATTATTTTGATGTCGGTATAATTATGGCGTGTTATTATTTTATATTAAACTGTAAAAACTGCCAGTCAAAAGTATGGAATAATTAATATTTTTTGTATGTTTTGGAAAATTCTCTTGTGCTCAACAAGGCTGCATTTATTTGATTAAACTTCTTCCTAGTATAATATATTTTAAAATGTAATTTATTCCTGTGATGGCAAAGCTGAATTTTCAGTATCATTACTCCAGTCTTCAGTGTCACATGATCCTTCAGA